GGGTTTCTCTGTGTAGCTTTGCGCCTTTCCTGGAACTCACTTGGTAGCCCAGGCTTCGATCATTATCTTAATTTTCTCAGGTTCTCTAAAAAAAATGCCATCATCCATAGACAACACAAAGTAGTCTAGAGAATATTCCAAAGAGGTGGGTTAGGTGGTTTTTTCAGTCATTTGGTGGGTTATGGATGTTTAGTGAGGACGTAGGAATATAGGATAAAAGGACAACTATTCATCTCAAATATTGTACATTGGTATATGCTGGGAGCCATAAAATTATGAAGTAAGATTTCAGCTGATTATGACAAGCTAATACCTGGAAGAAGCCAAGGGCCTTCTAGAGGTAAAGCCAAGGCTCAAGGAGTGTTGGTTATATTAGGTCTTAGATATTAACTTTTCCTGCAATGAATTTCTTATTTGCTATTGTAGCTTTTCAATTCAATTCTCTTTCCAAAGAACAGTGTGTTTTGATCATTCATTGGGCACAATTTCCCCTCCAATAAGGGAATATTTAGATAACCTTCTGTGCTGACAGCAATAACACAGTCAGAACCTCAGTTTCAAGCCTCCCTGTAATTATCATCATTAGCAACATCTGGACAGAACTATCTCCAGACGAAAATATCTTATCTGAGAAACTTCCCAGACATTTTAAGAACAAACCTTTCAGAAATTATTGGGAGAGGAGCTAAGATGGGAAAGGACTAGATGGATGAGAACTGGATGAGTCAGAACTAGAGGAAAGAGTTAAGATAGCACATAGAGGGAAGAGCAGGAACATGTAGAGAGAAATCACGTGAGAAAGGAGCTAGACAAAAGAGCAGAATAGAAGCTATGCAGAGAGAGAACTGACTCAGAAGAATAAAGTGAATGGACTAAGAGTTTCGTGTACATAAATTTATTAGAGTATCCCTCGGATTAATTAATCTGCCACTGGTAGTATCTCTTCTGGAACTCTGGGAGAAGGCTATTAAGGGGCTGGACCCCAATACTCTTCATTAGATATGAACTTTGGTATATTGACACAAATTTAAAGTTACTTTTGTTATATTGTGTGTTTCTACTATTGTTTGGGACATTGTGCTTATGCAGCTCATTTAAAAATGTAATGCATAACTAAGAAATGTAGTTTGGTAGTTAGTCATGTATAATAATCCGACTTGTAGTCATATTAGAAGTCAGGCAATGTTTAATAGCATACACCTTTAATCCTAGCATTCAGGAGGCACAGATCCATCCGGATCTCTGTGAGTTTAAGGCCACACTGGGACCAGAGCCATATATGGTGGCTCATGCCTTTAATCTCAGCAGTAACTATGGATATCTGGAGGTCTGTCCAGATAGACAGACAGGAAGTGATGTATGTAGCTAGGCGGAGAGAGGAAGTAAGAGGGCAGGGACAGAAAAGCATACAGGTGTGGGTGTACAGGAAGTAGCTCTCTCTTTTTGGCTGAGGATTTCTAGTGGTAAGAACGTGGCTGGCTTCTTTCTGCTTCCCTGATCTCTCAATTTTTACCCTAATATCTGGCTCCAGGTATTTTATTAGTAAGACGATTTAGAAATTTGTCTTATAGGAAAGAAAGATTAAAAAGCCCCAAGGCAAAAAAAAAAAAAAAAAAGCCCAAAGGCAAATGCCAGAAATGAGCCCGAGCTGGGCTGAGCATTCAAAACTAATAATAAGTCTCCATGTCATGATTTGGGAACTGGTTGGTGGCCCCACTGGAAAAGCCTGCTATGGAGAGTTGGGGCACAAATGAGAGTTAGGAGGAGGGAGACACTGGGAGGAGAGGAGGGAGGGGAATCTATCTATGGTCAGGATGTAAATAATAATAGTAAAATTATTAAAATAAAAAGGGGGGATTGATGACAAAAGTCAATATTTTTGAATAAGGTTAAGAAGTCTGGTAGATATTTCTCTTAATGTGCAGTGCACTCCACACAATATAAAAGCTTAGACACACACACACACACACACACACACACACACACACACAAAGTTTATCCACTTTTAAAATGGATTAAATAGTGCTATTGATTCATTCATTCATTAAAAACATCCCAGGCTATTGATGAATTGATAAGCAGCCAACGTAACAAAAATTCGACTTTTTCTTCTATTTTTATGTGTGGGGTGGTGGTGCAAGTGCCTATGGCTGGTAGAGCGACTGGCTCCCCTGATCAGGACTACAGTTATAGGCAGTTGTGAGATTCCTCTCCTCTCCATGGCTGCTGGGAATCTAACCTAGGCCCTCTGCAAGAACAGTACATGTTCTTAACCACTAGAGGCCACAACCTTAGTCTTGATCCCCCTGCCTCCACCTTCAGGGTGCTGGGATTACAGCTGTGTGCCACCTCAGGGCTTCGTGCATGCTGGGCAAACACTCTTCCACCCAAGCTACAACCAGAGCCTGATAACAATCCTTGTATTCGTAACATGGAGCGATATGAAAATGCCAGCAGGTTAATTCTGTGCGTTTGGTTGTTGTTTGTTTGTTGTGTTTTCCTTCTGTCTTTGCAATGGCTTTGGGAATCTGTCAGAAGTCTTGGGAAGGTTGTCACCGTCCCCACTGCTGGTCCTGTATCACCTATATAGAGAGCACTGCTCTTCTTCATAACGATAATGTCCACTCACATAGGAAATTAACCAGACAAATTCTGTTCTGTCATCAACAAATGAATCTTCTTTTCCATATATATCAAAAGGCCCACCTATCCCACAAAGTTCTTACCTGTAATTTAGTTTTCCTGAGAATCAAAATGAGAGTATAAGAGATGCTCGTCACACTCAACCTTTGAGGTAGTTTTAGTTTTGTAGGTCATAATGGAGACAGTGCTTCCCCCAAGATCAGCCCAAGAATGTCTGTTTGATCAGGAATGAGCTGACCCCTCATCACTAAGCTCGCCATGCTGATGCAGGCCTCCTGGACCAACATACATCAGGTTGCTTTCATTTTCAAATTGTCCTCTCCAGCTTTAGAAAAACATCCTGTGAAGTTTCGTCCGACATGTCTGGGATTTAAGAACAATGACTTTGGCTGGGAGTGATGCTGCATGCCTTTAATCCCAGCACCTGGGAGGCAGAGACAGGTGGACTTCTCTGAGTTCGAGGCCAGCCTGATCTACAAAGTAAATTCAAGGCCAGCCAAGGCTACATAGTGAGAAACCCATTCTAAAAGGAAAAAAAAAAAAGACAGGAAGAAAGGAAGGTATTGTGGGGTATTCCCCAAAGAAGACCGCTCAGACATGGGTTTAAGCCAATGAAAAGTCTTCATTACCTAGCCAACTAATACACTGGTTGTTCAGGATCCCAATGTAGCTCCAAGACTTTCTCAGGGTGAGCTTTTAAGCATAAAAACCATGTTCTGGGTTGACATGCTTCAGTTAACGAGAACAGTTAGCCAGAAGCAGAACTACAGAAGCCAAAAGGTAAGGTTAGCACATTTAGAGACTTTCCCAGAACTGTGGACTGTGATGGACTAGGCCCTTGTTTTAGTCTCGGCAGGCGGTGCTATCTGTGTGCCGAGCTCTAGAGTCTGAATGGTTCTTCCACCATGGAGTCAGCTCTGCTGAGGTCTCAGGGCCTGCCAAGGTCCGGGCCCTGTTACAGAAGGAAAAGAAAGAAAGAGCAATGACTGTGTAGGGAATCTGTGATTTGGGGGACGGAGAAACAGCTCAGTGAGGGGGTTAAGAGCACTGACTGCTCCTCCAGGGAATCCCAAGCTTAGTTCTCAGAGACCCACATGGCAGCTCTCAAGCCTCTGTGAGTCTAGGTCCAGGGTCTGACACCCTCTCTGGCCCCACAAAACACCAGGCACATGTGGTGTACACACATACATTCACATAAAACATTCGTCCATATAAAGCACTGTGGTGATTTTTTTTTTTTTTTTTTTTTTTTTTTTTTTTTTTTTTTTTTTTTTTGGTTTTTCGAGACAGGGTTTCTCTGCGTAGCTTTGCGCCTTTCCTGGAGCTCACTTGGTAGTCCAGGCTGGCCTCTAACTCACAAGATCCGCCTGGCTCTGCCTCCCGAGTGCTGGGATTAAAGGCGTGCGCCACCACCGCCCGGCTTATTGTGGTGATATTTTAATTGTGCTGAAATGTGATTTTATTTGTATGTTAATAAATAAAGTTTGCCTGGAGATCAGGGGTCACATAGCCAGAAACAGGAATCAGGCGGTGGTAGCACATGTCCTTAATCTGATCACATGGCAGGCAGAGTCGCTGTGTGGTCAAGGACACAGCCAAGCATGGTGACAGGAGCCTTTAATCCCAGTACCAACCATAGAGACCTGGAGGTCTATATAGACAGGCAGGAAGTCATGTGGCTGGGCTTAGAGCCAATAAGAAGGCAGAATAGAAAAGCAATAAAAACACAAGTCAGACAGGAAGCTCTCATGTGGGAAACCACGGCTTGGTGATAAACTAAAGGGTAGTCAGTGGCTCTTCGCTAATTCTCTGATCTCTTCGGCTATTACCCCTGTATTTGGCTCTGTGTTTCTTATTTACTAACACTGTTTAGAATTTCATCTACAAAGCACAATAAACTTTTTTTTAAATTAAGAAAATATATGATTTATATCACTGGCCCTGTCCACATAGTAACAGAATGGCAGTGAGTGGACTTCACACAAAGGGTTTTGTTAAGTACCATTACTTATGAATTTGTTCCCATGGATTAGAATGAATGAATGAATCATTCATTAGAACAAGCAAGTGCTAGGCAGGCCAAATGACTGGATGGTGAGAGTACTTGCTCCAGTTCTGCATAGTGGCACACATCTTTAATCTTCCAGCAGTTGGGAACCTGAGGCAGGTGGATCGCTGTGAGTCCATCCTGGTTTGCTTTGTGAGTTCCACGACACTAGAGCTACATAGTGAGACCCTATGTCTCAAACAACAACAACAACAACAACAACAACAACAAAGGCAAAGCACTTACTACACACCCATGTTGACGTGAGTTCAGCCCCTGACACCCACAGAAAAGTGGAGGGAGAGAAAGTGGCTCCTTAAGGTTGATTTCCCCTAGCTCAGCATACATATCTTGCACACACAATAATAAAACATTTTAAAACAATCAAGTTCTTTATTGTTTGACAACCCTATCATTAAAATAGAATAGAGCAAAAGATTAGACTACTGTACCATACTGTTATGCATCTGTTCCAGGATTGTATCATATTTGGAACAATTCATGGTCTTGGTTTCCTGACATTTGAAAATACACCTTCCTGGTACTATTTGAAATCCTGTAGTTCTGTTACTGAGAAACAAATGTGATAGGTAAAAAAAAAATGTTCTAAAATGTGCCAGGCATAGATAAGGAGTAAGTCGTGCATGGTGATATTTACCAAAAGATCAGCATTCATAAGACACACATGAAATATCAGGATCTAAACATGCATGAGATGTAGGGAATACTCAATATTCATTGTCTTAGTCACTTTTCTTTTGCTGTGAAGAGACATCATGACCAAGGCAATTTATTAAAAAAAAAATGTTTATTGGGATTAATGGCTCCAGAGGGTTTGAGTTCACGGTCATCATGGGAGCAAGCAGGCGGGCAGGCACTAGAGTGGTAGCTTAGAGCTTACATCTGATCCACAGGTAGGAGGCAGAGGCAACTGTAACGGAGAATGGCTTGGGCTTTTGAAATGTCAAAGCCTGATGGTCAGTGGTGGCACACAGCTTTGACCTCAGCACTTGGGAGGCAGAGGCAGGCAGAGCGCTGTGAGTTCAAGGCCAGTGTGGTCTACAAAGTGAGGGCCAGAAGAGCCAGAGCTGTTAGATAGAAAAATCCTATCTCCAATCAAAACAAAAACCAAAACCAACCAACCAACCAAAACAAAACCTCAACGTCTACCCCCAGTACCCACCTCTCCAGGGCCACACTTCCTCAAGCTTTTCAAACAGTTCCTCCAGCTGCAGAACAAGCACAGGAATGTGGCTGCATGGTGAACATGGGAGCCAGTGAAGGAGGAAATGCCAAAGGCACAAGACCTTGGCGTCTAGTGTAGCGTAAGGCGACGTCACCAGCTTGAGCACTGCACAGACCTCCCTTCCCATCCCCCACACACGGACAAAGTGAGGCGAGCTGTTCGACCCCAACATAGAATCTCTCCCAACCACGCAGCCATGCCGACACAGGCCGAACGGTCTGGGTGGGCTCGTTTTCTCTGCCAACTAAAGAATTCCAAGGCAGGAGAAATTTGCCAGTGAGCAGCGGAAAAGCTCAGCTATTTCAGACAGCAGCAGACAGAACCAACAGTAGAGAAAGTGAAGTGCATTTGTACCCAGAGCGGGCAGAGCACCCACCACTCCCAGGCTTAACTGTCCCGAGCCCGTCTGACATTGAACTTCACTAAAGACGGGAGATACAAACCGCACACCCGAGCACGGGAGGCGCTGAACGAGGGATGCAGTCCGCAGGCGACAGAGCCGCGTGCCGCACAAAGGCCTGACGTCGGGAGCTTAGAAAGCAATGTTGCAGTCTTTAGAAGATGAAGTGGGTGGCCCTGAAAAGGGCCGTTAGAGAAAGAAGCGGGAGGCGGAGCAGCTCAGCCGCCGAAGCCGTAGAGCGTGCGTCCCTGGCGCTTGAGCGCGTAGACCACGTCCATGGCCGTGACGGTCTTGCGCTTGGCGTGCTCCGTGTAGGTGACGGCGTCGCGGATCACGTTCTCCAGGAAGACCTTCAGCACCCCGCGGGTCTCCTCGTAGATGAGGCCGGAGATGCGCTTGACGCCGCCGCGCCGGGCCAGGCGGCGGATGGCGGGCTTGGTGATGCCCTGGATGTTGTCGCGCAGGACTTTGCGGTGGCGCTTGGCGCCGCCCTTGCCCAGGCCCTTCCCGCCTTTGCCGCGACCTGACATGACTACAGAGGGAGAGGAATCCGACTGATGCCATAGCCGGAGCAGCAGTTCGCTCTTATAGGGAACGCGCGGACCGGAGTGAAAACAGGAAGCGCAGTGGCGGGAACTGCTGGTGGCTAGGGGGAGGGGCCCTCCGCGCAATTCGAACGCTACGGATTGAAATGGAAATTCCGTCTAACTTCCTCATCTCCCCACACTTAACGTTTTCCTTTAGTACTGCATGAAGAGTCAGGTGAGCACTCGCAGCGTCTGAGAGTTTTTAAAGAGCTTTTTACCATTTTCCTTTAATGTGATCCCTACGGTGTCCTCATAAAACAAAATGTATTCGAGAATATACAGAGGGAAACATTGTAGCACTTACATTCATGTTCTTTCCACTATTTGGGCATAACCATGCCTTTTAACTTCAAAGATATAAATCTAAGGACGCAATAATTTAATGCTAGAAATGTATATATGTATGTATGTATGTATGTATGTGTGCATGTATTTGGACTACACAGCAGGGCGGCGGTGGCGCACGCCTGTGATCCCGGACCTCAGAGGCAGAACCGGGCCAGTTTGGTCTCAGCCCTGGCTACAGAGAAACCGGATCTGCAGGTGCGGTGGCCGGCACTCCAGGGGCTGAGGCAGGAGGATGTCTTTAGGACAGCCAGGGCTACACACTGAAACCTGGTCGAAAGACAAATTAGAGGAAGTCCAGCTCGTGAATTTGAAAATGAAAGTGTCCATCTGAGTGACTACCAGGAGACTGTCATTAATAACCCCGCAGTTATAGATGTAATTTTCTTGTGTAATGACTGGTGCTAAAATAAAGCTTTCAGGGAAAAAAACCTAGATGGCTCAAAACTTGTTT